TTGGCATGGACTCATTTTGGGTGGTATTCCTATACCCTTGATTTTCTATTACTAAAAGTAGTCCTTTACCTTTCCTACACATCAGAATCCTCTGGTGAACTTTTGCAAAACTCAGTGTCATCTGAGGTGGGGCCTGACATTTGGTTTTCTGGAGTTTCCAGGGGATTCCACTGCACATCAAGAGGTTTATGCTCTGGGGTGCCTGGCTGGCTCAGTAGAGCATACGACTCTTGATCTCAGGGTCATGAGTTCAAGCCCTGCATCGGGCTTAGGGCTTACTTAAAAATTAATTAATTATTTTTTTTTTTTAAATGTGCTAACTTTTTCTTAAAATCACTCTTTCTTAAAAAAGAAAAGAGGGGTGCCTGGGTGGTTCATTTGGTTAAGCGTCCAACTCTTGGTTTCAGCTCAGGTCACGATCTCAAGGTGTATGGGTTCAAGGCCCACACTGGGCTCCACGGTGATAGCATGGAACCGCCTGGGATTCTCTCTCCCTCTCTCTCTGCCCCTCCCCTGCTCAAGCTCTCTCTTTTTCTCTCAAAATTAAGCAAGTAAACTAAAAAAAAAAAAGGCTTCGGCCCTGGATTGAGCAGCGGCAGCCCAGACAGCTCTTGGATAAGCCCTCCGTTCGCTAGTTCGACAACTATTTATCTAGCACCCCTATGTTCCAGGCACTGTTCCAGGTGTTGGGAATACAGGCAGGGGAGGGGGAGCCCCGTAACAGGGCTCACTTGTTAGTGGAAAAGGTGAGAGAATAGGAGCACCTTGGTGTGTGCATTTGATTGCGCATCATGTCCTTGTATCCCATAATTTCTGTCCACATGGGTGTCATCTGTTCATCGTGGGTTTTTTGTTGTTTTTTTTTTTTTTTTTTTTTATGCTTCGTGAATCTTTTTTTATTTAGTGTTGTAAAGACCTTTCATCGTCCTATCAAACATTTCAGTTTATGAGGAGGAGTGGGGAGAACTAAACGTGTTAGACCCATGGACAATTAAACGATTTCTAAGAGAGTCACTGGTTGTAATTCTTCGGCTTTCCATACAGGCAATGCTTCATTATTGTTTTGTTAGATCAGTCAGCTCAGTGATGCTAAGGACAGTGCTCAAGTTTTTGCAGCAGTTCTACGGCCACGACTTGCAACCGTCCGTCGTATTCTTAGTTAAAATAGGTAGACTCTGCAGTCACTTCTCCATGAGCCCAGATCCCAGAAGAAGGAGAACAAATGCAGACAGAAGGTACACTCCGAATCCACAAGACGCCTGAGCTGGGCTGGATGGATTGCTCAGAGTGGACCCAGCAGATGCCCAGAATGACAGGTCATGGCTTTCCAGAAGCAATCGGGTATCCTTCCAGCCTTACTGAGGGTGTTCACTTCCTCCAAAAGCGTTGAAATAAATGCGCCTTTTGGTAGGTGCTCTTTGGAGTCCATAGTCCTGGCAGCCACAGGTCAGAAAGGGAAGAGGAAGTCAGGGGACTTTATAGGCAGAGCTAGGAACTGTGTGGAATAAGTTGGAAGACCAACCAGTCCGCTCCCAAGTCTACAACCACCCACCACGATTTTAAAAGAAATGAACTCCACCCCTGCACATTTAAAGTCACGTGTTAATTAGCAGCAGACTGAGGACTTGACCCCAGGAGTTCTCATGCCTCGACTACTTCTTTTCCCATCACTCACAGAGAAAAGGCCCTCCCCCTTTCCCCGTGCCCCAGAGAAACCCATCTCCACATTTTGGGGGAAAATGAAGTGCCATATCTGTATATATTTTTTTAATCTATTTTTTTTTAAATCTAAGAAACAGAACTGTTGTTTCTAGAGACTCTGTTACCTATTTCCATCACTGTAGCATAATGTATTTGTGTATGTACCTTCGCGAGAAGAGGATTTGAAAGCATCTTTGAGGTGTGTGGCCGTTTTTCAGCCTTGTACTGCAGAGAAGAGGCAATGGAATAAGACAACCGCATTAAAGATGAAAATTGAAATGGGGCGCTGGGAACTGGTCCAAAGGAGAAGTAACATTTGTTACTGAACCATGAGCAGAGGAGGAATTTTTTAATCCAGGCTTGAGATTGATTCTGATTTGAGGATGGCCGTAACTTTATTAAGCATCCATGATGGCACGCTTGGTGTTAGACTGAATTAAGTAGGGGTAACTGATTTGGGGATTCTGTGTGAGGATGCTAAATTAGCATCCTAATTTTGGAAGATTGTACTCACCAAAAATAAAGAGGATAGTGCTTCTGTATTTTCCTGGACCCCTCACCCAGGTCCCTAGAGATGCAACAGCGAAGGGTGAAGGGTACGCCTGGCCAAGTAGATCTTCATTCCTAAAAAGAGTTCCTGACCAAAATATCTTTCTCTTTTCTTATGCTCATAAGCTGGATTGAACCACTTGCGGGAAGAAAAACCTCTCTTTTAAGCCCAGGGAAACTCATATGCAGTCAACCCACTGCTCATCCTCCCCTCCATCTAGTCCTTGACCTTGTTATCCTTCAGAATCAGCTGTGCCTCCAGAGCGGACCAGCCCCTAGCCCCAAAACAGTTGCCCAAGTGCCTAAAACCTTCCAGCCAAAAAACTCCAAACAAGCACTCTGGATTCAAGTGTCCTATTGGAATAGGAATACTTCCATCAGAAAGCCTCTCTGCTACCTAAAGATGTAAAGAATTAAATCTTTCAGGGAGACCCACAGTGTGCTCACAGAAAACGCATCACCTAAGGTGGCATAGCACGTCTGCTTGCTCGGAAGGAAGCCACTGGAGGGACTTGTCCTGAATGAGTCGCTGTGTTTATTTGGCTCAGATGGGATGGGGGTGGTGGTCCCGGTGATGTTTTGTGGGCCTGAAGCACTTCCCAAGTTGCCGCTTAGGTTCCGCGAAATTCGTGTGCGTGCTGCTGCTCTTTTGGTTCATGAAAGATTCTCTTTCTCATGTCTTGTGTCTTTCTCTCTGTGGCCCTTTGTACCTTTCTCCGGTGGTCGTGTGTTTCTGAAGAATAAAGAAATACTTTCTTTAATTTTCTGGGAAAACAAACAGGAAGAGGCTCTTGACATTTTGCCTGTATTTCCTCTTGTTCTGTCTGTCCCCATCGGACCTCCTGGTCGTTGTCGTTGAGGAAAAGTCTGGGTAAGAGTTGCCTGGGGAGACCGGGGCCAGGCACCCGGGCCAAGCCCTGGTTGCTGGCAACACTTTGCGTTCTCAAAGATGGCAAAGAATCTTTCCTCTGCCAAGAAACAGGTGTGTTTTCTCGGTCCTGAAAGAGGAAGGGGCCCTTTCCAAAAAGAGGAAGTGGGAGGAGACCTCAGTCCCTCCATAAAACCTTCCAGAACCTAAGAGACCTGCTTTTGGCAACACGCTGTGTGGGGAGACGGGGGCCTAGGGGCAGCAGGAACCCTGGGAACCATGAATAGGACCTTAAGTCTTTCAGCTCAACTAATATATATATATATGTTTTTTTAATATCAGTGGGGAACGATGACTGTTTTAGAAATGTCACCCCAGGAGTTGCCAAATAAGTTAATTTACCTGTTCCTCATGCTATTAACATAAACCTTCACTCCATTACAGAGTGTAAGTAAGGGGCCTCCTGCAGGCGAAATCGAAACTGGCCTCTAAAGTTCTTTCCCCCCTCCCCCATTTTTTTGAGACGCTGTCTTCTAGAACCAGCGTCATCCATACTATTAATCGCTTGTGGGGCTTTATACTGTATCACATTACTCCCTTGGAATTAAACTGCACATATGAAGTATGAAAAATGTACTTTTTTTAAACAGTAAAAAAGTCATTTCCTAGCATAATACCTAAAATAAAGTGCCGTGGAGCCATTAGTAGTAAATTGAATTTTTTGGCATGTAATTTGTACAAAAACTGACAGGTACGAGCCCCCCTGCCCACCCCCACCCGCCATCATTAGTCATTGGGTTTAGCGGACGCAGAGGTAGTAATCTGCAAGGGCAGGCATTTTGATGTCGACTTCAATTGCACACTTCATTTATTCGGACAGGGCACAGGCGGCAGCTTCTGTCACGGGGCATCACTGCACTATTAGCGAATTTCGCCCCAGGGCAGCTGGGACGCTGTTCTGGGGCAGATGTTCTTTTCAGCCTATTCAGTGACCATTCTTGGGAGTTGTTTACTGTTGCCATGGTGACTTTCATTTCCATAGCAGCAGCGCTGCTGTTTCTCAGAGGAAAATGAATTTAGTTATAAAAGGATAATATTTTTTCTCTGTCTCTATATAACCTGCCATCTGTCAACTGGTGGATCAGTAAGGATTCAGAAACCTATTAAGAATTATAGCAGCGAGGTGATGAGTATTCTTTTTGTCCCATATTAAAAGCAGTAATAGATGTGGAAGCAAACGCTGTGCCCTCAACATCATAACTTTCATGTTTCCTTTATATCTTAAGTGTGTGTGTGTGTGTGTGTGTGTGTGTGTGTGTGTGTGTGTGTGTGTATTAATGCCTTCACCACTTCTGCTACCACCACTGCGTGCACACAGCGTCTCGTAAAGTACAATTTACATTCTGCTGACAGATGGAAATGATCCGACGTCTTGTTTGTATCTCACTAGATGCAGGTATATTTAGGGCTTTCTCTTCTCGGTGCTGTGAGCTTCCCCAGTTCATCAAAGACTTCTGTAGCTAAATGTCCTATTGTCACCCCACTCCCCTACTCCTCCGTGCCAGGGGAGTAAGCTGTAGGGGTGCATAGATCAGCAACTTATCAGGAACATATAGTCAGATTATGAAATGAGCGAAATGAGGAAGGACCATGCTTTGTCTGAGAAACTTACTAACCTGCCCCTTAAATCTCATTCTAGAATACCTTTCTTCCTCTCAAACGCAAACGGGAAGAAAGTCACCTTTGGGATAGCTCATCTTGTTCCCAGATTTTTTTTTTTTTCTCTGTTGCTTTCATAAACTGTAACTTGCAGGGGGAAAAAAAACACACACAGACACCGGCCCCGTTGTAAATAATGTTATTTATTGGTTGATTTTTCCAGATCCTGACATTGATGCTGCCAGTGCCATGATGCTTTTGAATACTCCCCCTGAGATACAAGCAGGTTGTGAGTAGATATTTCTATAGCCTACAGCACCGTAGTTTGTGAACTTAACCTTCTCATTTATATACCAGGCCATAGGAAGAACTAATTCTCAAGTAGAACTTCCCTTGTAGAATCCCTTTAAAACTTAACCTAAGTGCATGATTACATGCATATGCCTGCAGACATGCGGCCACGCCTATGTGTGAATGAATGCATAGGTGTGTTTCCGAGATGACAAAGTTTTAATATAATCTCAGGGCTTAAGACTTGGGGGAAGGGAAGCAGACCCTATAATGGATTCCCGCGGAGAGAACTTCCTTTCTCCTGCAGGAATAGTTCCTGTGAGTTTGTAGTTTCTGAGTTTGTAGTTTCTGCTAGAAGAGGCTTTGTGGGGCCAGCCTAACAGTGATGGAACTGAGCAGTGCCCGGTTTCAGAAATTTCTTTCCCCTTTGGGACCTCATTAATAGCAGGCTGCCGTTTTATAGCTAGAGAGGAGAGGAAAGTCCGGCAAGACGGGGACGCAAGAGCTTGAAGTAGCCTTGAAATGAACCATCATGATGCACCCCCACCCCCCACCCCGCATCATCCCCACCAGTCTTCCAAGCTGTCACAGAGAAGGGCCGGGCTGATTTTGCCAAGCAGGGCTCCTGTCTTCACCGGCCGTTGGCCACTGAGCAGTGTCAAGCTTGAAACAGCACTTCTTCTTCCTTGAACTTGTCTTCTATTGTGTCTTTTCCCACCTCTGAGCTACACCTTGGAAAGGTCTCCTTCCCGAGTGATGAACAATGACCTTAAATGGAGATATCTGTCTGTCCCCTCGTCCTCCTGACTTGAAGCTAGTTTCCCGGTCCCCCCTTCACCCCCACCCAGAACCCTGTTGAGCAGGTAGCCAGCTCACTTCCTGGGGTCTGCTCAGGACATTGCTGTGTGGCAGCCTCCTGTTGACGGAACACGCTGATAAGGTGATGCAGCGGACCCCAGCACCCACCGGGCTCATTCTTGGGGCTGGGCCCTCAGCTTGTTTGGGGCTCTGGCTCCCTGAGTCAGGGAAATCCCCCACGTTCATTCTCGGGTACTTTTGTTAACAGTTAGCCCTCCACTGGTCACAGCCTTCCCCGCAGCTTTGGGAAATTTGAGTCTATCCTTTCTCCTTCCTACTTTTAAAAGACCCGAGAGACGTGTCTCAGGAGAGACTCATCCCCCTGGCAGGGGCTGCCATTACCTGCTCCGAAAGGCGTAGAATTCCCTTTCTTTCTTGGCTAATCTCAGATTGCCAGCAGTTGAAGTGTTAGAGGCTGCCCACACCTCCGAGAAGCAAACGCCATTGCTAAGCACTTGTGTAACTAGCACAGTCCAGTGACTAGCAGTTACCCTGTAATGTGGTTTTTAAATTTTTTTTTTCAACGTTTATTTATTTTGGGGACAGGGAGAGACAGAGCATGAACAGGGGAGGGTCAGAGAGAGAGGGAGACAGAGAATCGGAAACAGGCTCCAGGCTCTGAGCCATCAGCCCAGAGCCTGACGCGGGGCTCGAACTCACGGACCGCGAGATCGTGACCTGGCTGAAGTCGGACGCTTAACCGACTGCACCACCCAGGCGCCCCTGTAATGTGGTTTTTAAATGACGTTTGAAGTTGCAGAGAAATTGAAAACAAAACAAAACTCCATTCTCAGATGACATTGCAGGAAGAGTGCAGACAGATTGTAACCAAGTTACAGTCTGAAACAGTTTCGGGAGTCATGTTGCATGACTTAACAGTGAGGAAAACACTTTTCTCACCAGAGGCGTAGAAGGTTCAGGAGCATCTTCGTTAGCACCCGGCCACTGTGCACAGGGATCACTGGCTTAAAGAAAAGCTTTTGATGAACCAGAATGATGGAATTAAGAGGGAAAGAGGCAGGGGGATTGGTCATTAACGGATCCCTAGCAGCTTCCATGGAAGTCCATTATCAGTAGTGGCTAAATGAACTTCTCCCTGCTCCCTCACTATAACACTCAAACTATAAATAATTATTTTTTCAGGGTATCCATAGTCTTACTTGCATGGAAATGCAGAATTTGAGTTTTAAAAGTTCAGTGTTTATGTGTCAAAGCTGTAGGGCTTTTTTAGAAGGCTTTCTTCCTCAGTGTTAGCTCTGTGAGAAATTCAGCCTCAGCCCGGCCTTCGTGAAAGCTCCAGGCCAAGAAGGCAGGAACCAGGAAGCCCACAAAAGTCATGGAAGGAGAGGCCCATTGGCAGGAGCCTCCAAGAAATAAATGTAAAGACTAGGGAGGGGGTAGGAGCATCATCTTTGTGTTCTCCTTCCCATCTGGCCCCAATCTCTAGTAAAATCCTCTAATGGTCAAGCTAGCACATGGTCAACAGGCCGGAGCAAAGCCCCTGAAGATGTGAACAGGACTTTCTAGGAAAGAAGTGAACATGCACTTGGGAAGCCAGGTGGCCACTGGTCAGCCTCCCAGTAAAGGAGTCGGGGGCAGGGCGGGGGGGGGGGGGGGGGGGGGGGGTGTCTCCAGCTGGGGGCCTCGGTCTTCTCTTAGCACTTCTCGGCTTCCCTCTGCCTCCCCCTCCCCTTGTCCTTATCTTATGTTGCGTGTTTCTTTTCCTGGGATTTGGTGAGCGTCTGGCCTCCTGAAGGGAGAAGGGTTAGATACTTTCTGTGGTGCAGCCTCCATACTCCTGCCCTGCCGGCTGCCCCCGAGGCCTGGAAAAAGTGGAAGGTGATTCCTCACCAAACAGGTTCAGAGGCGGCAGACACCCAGCCCCGGTGGTGGAGGGCGGGTGGCCTGCCTCATGGTGTTTGTGTGCACGTGTCCCGGTGTGGACGTGGGTGCCTAGCATTCAGGCATCCCCTCTGCCCACGCACGGGGAGCACAGGTTCGCATCTGCACGCAACTGCCTGTGTCCCGCCCCCAGGCTGCGCTGTGGCCGAGCTGTTTACAGAGCCTCCTCATGCACTATTTATAGCCCCTTGTTTTCCCCTCCTGGGCTAGGATGCTGCTTGAACAGGGGCCACCAGGCTCGTCTGTCTGCTGCTGTCACTTCCAACAGTAAGAGCCTGGCTTGGGTGACTTGAAAGGCTTTTCCTTTGCCATCGAACTTCATAGCCGCCCCACTTAAGGTCACCGTACAGCAGCCACTTAGATTGTTTCCTCTCTTCCTTCCCTGCGCCCAGCATCTGCAAAGCTAGCTCGGGGCTGGCAAACCAGCCACCGTCCACAGTCCAAGCTGAGTAGATCGTACAAAGGAAACTTCTCAAGAAACTGGTGAGAATCACAGTCAGCCAGGCCCCTTTATCTTTGAGGGGGTCCCACAGTGCCCCAAGGGAGCTCAGCCTGCCCCGGACCCTGCCCCTGGTATTACTTGAGCTGGCTCCTTATGGGTCCCATCAGTCTCTCCTGGCGACCGGATGCTTCACTTTCAATGAGGCAGCTGAGTGCATCTAATCAAAACCGCAGGCTTTAACATTTTGTCCCCACCCCCATCCCCCGGAGCCCCAGTGATGATGTTATCTTTTCCAGACTTTCCACTTTGCAGCCTGGGGAACATTCTATGAAGGTATGCTGTTGTGTCTTGCATGTGCTATAGGACACCACTTCCAGAAAAATCAGCACAGGACATTGCTGCTTCATTATCTCTTGAACTTTGGATTGTGCTTCTAGACCCATCCACCTCCCCCTCTCCCTTCAAAGTAGCCATATAGACTAATTCCAGCTTCTAGAGTCTACTTAAGTACCTGCTTTGCTGTTCCCCTCTGACAAGCCCTGTGAGTCATCTTTAACCCCAACGGAGGGATTGTTAGGAAGTCAGATCACCATTCTCATCTTCAAAGGCTTATATAATCCCTAGTTGGAATGTTCCCAGAGAGGAACTCTGGATGATAAACAAAGCAACCAAATGGGACAGCAGAGGTGAGGGAAGGAGGCAGCGTTCCACACCCCCTGGAGCTACAGTGTGCATCCAGCACACCAGGCACTGGAGAAGAAAGGCGACCAGGACGGAGGCTCCCCCATTCCAGCCCCCTCCCCAGCATCTTTCCAAGTAAGCAGGTGGAAAGTCCCACTTCGGGAAGGGGAAGGATTATCGGAAGCACTAGCTGCTCAACTTATGGCCTCTGGTAGTGTCAGCCAGGGCTGCCCTCCAAAGGCAGCAGGAGCTCACAGGTTAATTTTAGAAGCCGTGAAAATCAAGGAAGCTGAGCATCGGGAAGGAGGCTGGGGAGGCTGGGACGGGGCCACACCGAGGGTGGCGGAGCGTGGAGGGAAGTGTGTCTTGTGCCACAGACGGTTTTCTTGGGTCCTCCAGGTGATCACGCTTCGATCACAGTGAGCAGTGCTGCTTGGTTCACTCCTCTTTCTGCGTGTTACTTTCTTATTGCCTAAAAATAAGTAAGTTTAGAGTCACTCTACACTATAAGAGAAAGGGGATGGTCAGCAAGAAGTGGGAGCCGTGGGGCCCCTGTCCTTGGCGCCCCGTCCCAGGAACCCGAGAATCTCAGAGACGTGTCTTCTTGTGTGTAAAAGCTGAACGTCGAACTGATCTGACAGGAAAGGATGGTTGCTGGAGGCCTGTGCCTTTTGCAGTGACCGCCACAAGCATATCCAGTTTTCTCACTGTACTCTTCTGGGCTGGAGGGCTGGAGCCATGGTACAATTTCAGTACAATTTCAATACACTGGGTGGGACGGGCTGGTTGTAAAGGGCTCGGTCTGATTTACCCTGGGGGCAATGCAGAGGAAAAGGAAGGGGTAGATAGACCGTGCTGGTAGGAAAACAGCTGAGGAATGGATTCATGCTCCCTCCGAGTCCCCAGAACCGAAGACGGGTTACTATGGACCTCACAGACATTTTAGACAGGCTGTGATTCGTTTTCCAGAAGGCACGTTCCTGACGCTTGGGGATGGAGACAGGCAGGAGAAAAGATGGGAGAATAGTTAAGTGTCACAGCTGGCTTCTGGCAGCCCATGAGCAAATAGGAACACATCACCATCCCAACATGAAAAGCGCTGCCGGTGATGAGGACTGAGAAGTGCCAGGTTTGGTTGGCAGAGGCAGCATTCAGTTGCAGCTCATTTGAGAGCAAACTCCAGGAGTCAGGAGAAGAGCCTAGTTTATGTGCCAGAAGTCTGTGAGGTTCAGGAAATGGCTCAGGGAAAGCCTTTTAGTGCTGCGCAATGGCTTCGTCCGTGAGATTCTCTTTGAAGTGAATACACTTCATTAATCCGGAAGATGTGGGCAAATGCAGAGTTGAGATATCTAAAAAGCATAAAAGGCTGGAAGAATTTCTCCCTGTCTTGACCTCCACCCCACCCTCCAACATCCCCCTTAGGCCCTGTTCCTTATAATTAGTAAGAGGAAGGTAGAGAGGTGCATGGGATAGTGGAAGGACAGACAAGATGGTGATGAAGACCTTATATAATGGACCAGCCGCCGAGCTAAGCAATTTACATCAGTCGTCTTATTTAACACTCAGCAACACTCCTATGAGCTGTTTATACCAGGTTTGCAGCTGAGGAAACTGAGGCACATGAAAGTTGAGGCACTTGCCCAAAGCTGCAGAGCTAGTGGGGAGGCAAGACTGGGGCGGACGGAGGCCATGTTGCCCTGAGCTTGTACTCTTAACCACTGCAGAGCACTTCTTCCCTGGAGGCTGAGATGAGCTGAGGACACCAAAAGACCCTGGTCCCCAGTCCATGCTCGCTTCCTTTCTTTGTTCCTCTCCCTGTAGGGCATCCCCCCTGGGGCATAACAGTTCTAGGCGCTTGGGCAGAGGACTCTGGGCTTAGGGCACTGTCCTTGGGGTTGCTTTTCTCCTTTGGCTGGCAGATGACTCCCTGGCCATGCTATGTGACTCCCATCTGCTGTCTTCACTGTCCAGGGCACCCCAGTCTTTGTCCCAGAATTATAGGTGATTCAGGTATTTCCCACAGGGGTGACTCTGACATGGGACCAGAAGCCCCATAAGAGCTGTCACCGTTCCTCCAGCTATGTTCTGTGACCGGGAAGATGGCTAAGTTCTTCCAACATGGTCTGGGTTTGTTCTGTTCTGTTCTTGTGGACTTTGGGCTCACCTGGAATGGAGAAAGCACAGGCTGCCTCAGGATGCGCAGGGGATGTTGGTTATGTTGATGTTGATGATGATAATATTGATGACTAAGAGGTAATTTTGTATAACAGTAGTGCCTTTATTAACTCAGTTAAATCTCCACTCTGTGAGATAAATACCATTTCTGTCCCCATCCTCTTAAGTGGCTTGCTCAGGGGACACAAGCAGTAAATGACAGAGATGGGATGCAGAGATGGTGTTGGACCCCTCCAACATCAGAGTCTGGCTCTCAGCCGCCGTGCTGCAGACCTTTTCCCCCGCTCAGAACCCTTTCATGGTTTTCCCCATATCCATGGGATGAAGCCCAAACGCACCTCATTCCTGCAGAGGGATCATACGCTTTAGCCAAGTTAGTTTTTGTTCTTGTGCACATCGTAATTTTTATTACTTCCAGGCCTTGTATGTGCCGTTCCTGTGCCTTTGAATGCCAACTCCGACTGGAGTTCTACAGGAAGTCTTCCCAGACACCCTTTACTTCGGGTTAGATGCCTCCATCCTTCATGCCTATAGGCCGCTCGCCCCGCTTACCACAGTGTATTTCCATTGCCTCTTTAATTCTCTGTCTGTCCCACTTAGCTGTGGCGACCCTGCGTCTCCTTCATGGAATACACAAGCAGATATGTTAATCCATGCATCGATACAGTCTGTATATGGGACTGTAATAATTTTGCTGGCAAGAATTACGACTGTGGTGTAGATTTTAAGCGTTTAAGTGATTTTAACAGTAGTCCTTTCTGTCAGATTTGCTCGCCGTTCTAGATGAGATCTTTAGTGACTGATATCTTCACTGGTATTATCAGAATGGGACTGAGCCTGTGGTTTCTGGCCATTTCAACGAGACTACCATACGGCAAGATAACTGAAAAACCCTCTCCCGTGATCTCCAAAACAGACAGACAAACTAAAAGCCTCTCTTTTCAAGCAACCTGAAGCCTCTTCTACAGACTCTAGAGTCCTACTGCTTTTTGCATGTCTGTCCTTGGGAATTGCTGCTATTTTTCCTCCTATATTTTCTTCTAAAACGTTTCTCATTTTAGTTCTTACATTTGCATTATGATCCATTTCTAATTAACTTTCGTGTATGGCCATGAGGTAAGGACCAAGGCTCATTTTTTCCTGAATGGATCGCCGGTTGTTGTAGCTCTGCTTCCCCTCATCGTATTGTCTTGATACCTTCTGCCAAAAGTCAGTTGGCCACATATTTGCGGGTCTATTTCTGGATTCTGTTTTCTTCCGTGAGCTGTGTGTCTGTGTTCACACTAATACCACGCCGTCTCGTAGCTGTAGAGGAGGTCTTGAAATGAGTATGTAGATCAGTTAATATAAATTTTAGATACTCTTCCTCAGAAAGAACTCATCAACGAAGCAAAATAGGATGCTTCCCTCCAGTATTACATTATAACAGGCTTCGTGCTTTTAGATACCTGGTAAGTCTCCTGTCTCCGATGATCTGCTATCCGAAACCAGGCTGATAGTAAGGAACGGGTAAGAGTTCCTGATCTAGTTCAGCCTACTGTCACGGTTAAATGGGGTAAGTGAATGGAAAGATTCTGGACCCCTGGACTACATTAGTAGTAGTTGGTTTAAGTGCTGGTTTTTGTCTCCCATCCACCTTTTATAAAACCCAATAGCAAGAGCCTTACACAAACCTGGAAGAGAAATAGCAAAAATTCTAGCAAGAGCCACAGAATTCTCTAGGAATCGGCCTGTATAACATCATCCATGTTCAGGAGTGGACATTCATCGTACATGAAAGACCTCTAGTTAAAGGTTCAGAAAATTTATGGAAACATGCCCTTAGAGGCCTAAACATTACAGGAATAAAAAGTCTGTGTTTTGTAAAGAGTGTTCTCCACAAATAATACTGACTTTAACACTTAATACCCAGAAGGGTTTTACATTTTTTGTATGTATAATTTTCTAGAGGCTCTTTGAGAAGGCATAATTTATCCACCTTGCCTCTGGATGAGACTGTGCGGGGGGCTCCATGGACATAGCCAGAGCCCTGGGGACTCAGGACATTGACGGCAGAAGGGTTCCTAGGACACTGTTCCGAGAAGGAAGAAGAGATTTCAGTAACTTGCACAAAGTCACACAAGAGAAACTGAAATGAAAGCTAAGACTCCAAGCCCTGCCTCAGTGCTTCCCAATGCACGCCTGGCCTTGGAGACACATGGAGGAGGGGGTTGGTTGTACAGTAAGAATATTAGCTTGAACCTAATGAAACTGCTGTCTGAGAGGTCAAAAAAGATGGACGATCGGGGATGTCCTGTGGTTCCCCTGTGGTGTAAACCCTCATACAGGGGTGAGCCCACTGTGGGTTTGTATGGAAACAGACATCATCTGATGGGCACTGGCAAAAAGGTTGGCTTACGATTGCTCCAGGGATGTGTGTATTTAGGAGAAGGCGGGATGGTGAGAGAACTCTGGGGAGATTTGCTTGGGGAAGCTTCGAGGAAGGAGGCAGTGGGTCCTCCAGAGTGGGCTGTGCATGGTTCTGAGACGGGAGCCAGAGCCACCCTGCCAACCGTCCACTCCCAGCCACACTGAGGAAGGGGTCTTTCCTCCGGCGGCCGAAATCGTTGTGAGCACACACTGTGTTGTGAGCACTGAGGTGCCAAGTAGCTTATAAAATCAGCTTTGCTTTTCTTTTGGCTCCTGTTTTCTCTTGTCAGGTTAAGGACAGATAGAAAGATGTTCTCGGCTTCTGACCATCACCAGAGAAGCATGAAGAAATGCTTTTGTTTGGTCATTGCTATTAGACTTGTGTTAGTGTTCTCGAGATCTTGTTAGGGTCTGAGTGGAAAGAAAAGCTTATATTTAATAAACGCAGGGAAGTAATGTTTGAAGCCCACTTTTGAAAACTCACCCTTTTTTAAACCAACGCATCAATAATTTGATTGTAAGGTATTGGTCTGACATGGCTGACCGAATCTCTTTCTTGAGGCGTGGTATCTTTCTTTCCCCTTCTACGTGTGCGCGTATGTGTGTGTGTGTGTGTGTGTGTGTGTGTTTCTATCACTGCTCACTCCTCGTGCCTATAATAATCACTTTCTCTCTCTTCTTTTCTTCTCTCTCTCTCTCTCTCTCTCTCTTCCTGATGTATCCAGAATTTCTGACTCAAAACAGAAATGTTCACCGTTGAATTCACGTGTGGTATCTTCTTCCGTTTTGTTTTTCCAGTTCCTCCAGGAGTGATACAAAATGGAGCACGGGTTCTGAGCCGAGGGCTGTTTCCTGGAGTTCGGCCGTTGCCAATCACTCCCATTGGAATGACGGCAGCTGTGAGGTAAGGGAGGCACTCGCTGGACAAAGCCTGCCGGAAGGAGTGGGAAGGGCATCATGTGTCCCACGGGGCCACTTGGGATGAAGAGGACCAGCCTCTAAGGAGTGAAGACAATCAACTTGGTTTGGGTGTTAAGAAAAGGCCAAGTAGGGGCGCCTGGGTGGCTTACTCAGTTAGGCGTTCGACTTCGGCTCAGGTCATGCTCTCATGGTTTGTGGGTTTGAGCCCTGCATAGGGCTCTGCGCTGACAGCTCGGAGCCTGGAGCCTGCTTTGGATTCTGTGTCTCCCCCTCTCTCTCTGCCCCTCCCCCACTCTCACCTTGTCTCACTCTGTCTCTCAAAAATAAATAAATGTAATTAAAAAAATTTTTTTTTAAAGAAAAGGCAAAGTAACTCCCCAGGGACCCCAATCCAGCTTCTCCTTCTGGGCTCAAATTATCTTAGTCTCTTTGTAGATGAGGAGATGAAGACACATTAAGCTTTTTTGTTGAAGAAGGTGGGACAAGGTGGGAATAAGGAAGTGGTGAGCAAGTTGTTCATTAGATTCTAGGCTAACTGGTCTACCTCCAGAATGGATTGCAAAATCATGTGTGAAAAGTGCCTTTGGTTACTGGGATAGAAATAACATGGGGCATCACTCCCCTGCTTCCAAGAGTCAGGTCAGTTGCCAAACCACATGAACTCTTCCTTGGGGAATTTCCTTCTTCCATCCTTCTTCTCTCCACTGCTGGCCCTGGATTAGGGTCTCTCGCTAGCTTAGACCTTTTACATGTGCCAGTGTGGATGCCGCCTCCCATTTTCCTGCTGCTTCTCTGCCCATTCCCGCCCACCCATCAGCCACTGTCAGACTCATTTCCTAAAATGTGCCTCTCCAGCCGTCTGCAGAAACACCTTCCATGGCTCCCACACATCAGCCTGACATAACCCCAGTCCTCTGGTGTCCTCGAACCAAATTTGTTCCCCAGATATGTCTAGCATTGGCCGATCTTATCCATTCGGTTGCCTCTATGTAGACTTCGCTCAGCCTCCACATGCACCTCCTTCAGGGTCCATCACAAAAATGATTGCTTCACAAAGCTTTTCTGAACATGGCCTCTGAGCTTGCCCTGGATGAATTTCCCTTTCCTTTGAAAGCCCCCATATTTTGGTTGTGGCCCTTTAATGGGTGACTCGGTGTAGTAAAATTCCTGTGTGTGTGTGTCCTTCTCTGTTGTCAATGGTTCGCTTGCCGTAGACAGGCTGGGTCTCACGTGGCTGATGCCTCCTCAGGTTTGCCTAGGCTCTTGCTTGGAAGGCCCATCACATTGCCCCCCTCCACAGCATCATCTGCTTGCTCAGTCTGCACTGTTGGATCAAGTTTGCACCTGAAGACCGTTTTTCTTCCATAGAGTGTCATGTCCCAGAGGAAACCACCCCAGAAAGTCTGCTAGCTGGGTCCTGAGGGAGACACAACGTCGAGCTCACTCGTGTGAAACAACCACACGGTGCTTTCCCACTCACTCTTCTGGCAAACCAGCCTTGTCTTGCCAAGATGGAAGTCCCTCAGTCTTCAGGGCAGACGCTGGTGTCTAGGACCTGATAAGGAAGGAATTTGGTTGGAATTAGAATAATAATAATAAAGTTAGAAAACCACTTATCATTTCTGCTAGCCCAACATGGTGATACTTTCCAAAAATATATGGAAGGCCCTCTCTTATACTTCTCTAGGATCTTTCTTGGTTATCTGTAGGTCAATAATTCTTGAGTTCTTAAATGATAAGCCTTTTCCATGCAGCCAAAGTATCAACACCTTTGCCTCGCATTATGAGAGAAACACGTTCCATTTTCTTTTCTTACTTAACATCTTTTCTGCCTCACCTCCTGGCTTACCTTTTTGGTTGACAGGACTTTGAGACTGTAGACTGTTTGCATGTGGAACAACAATCTATGTTCATTAGCATATTCTAAGTGTAGATTTCAGTTTGTTGTCTTGAGCAGTCTTTCGGTGCCTGCCACATGGATCTGGATGTGGCTCCAGCCATTCCTCGTAGAAGGGCACAGAAGAGCCAGGCACGGGGGGAGAGACATGAGACCAAGTTGGCCTTCAGCAGGAGCCACCCCCTGATTTTAATTATTACCCTTGTGGTGTATGTTATCATACATTTTACTGATTAGTACTCCCAAGAGGCATTATTTAAAATGCTGATTTTTTTGTTGTTGGTGTTCTAGTTATGTTCTGGTTAGAAGATAACAAAACACCACAGCAAAACAATGAAGTCTTGTCTCTGGTTAAACAGCTGCCACTTATCCAGTCCAATGAGCACCTCACTTTGGCTTTTCCACAGTAAAAGACCACAAAACAGGTTTCAGGTGCAGTCAGGAGACAGAGATAACACTAGGTATTCAATCAGGGAGACTTTCATGTTAAGAACCATTAACCAGAGAGGAAGTTATTAACCAGATAACTGGAAGGGTGAAAAGAGGTCTCCAGGTGTCCTGGAGAAGGTAGTCACTGGAAGGAGCCGCATCCCCTCGGGCTAAGGAGAAAGGGAAGAGGTTGGGATGGTTGCCCCATGGGAGTGGGGCTCAGACCTCAGAAGAGGAGCTGGGGTCGGAGATCCGGACCTCTGAGGGGTACCCCTCAGCTTGGGCTAGAGGCTCTGATCTCAGAGGAGGGACCTATGGAAGGACCAGAGGGATGTTAGGAGATCTCGGGATCTCCTGCTGGCGCACGTCCTCTAAGGGAACATGAAGAAGTTGGTTCTGTAAGCATTAGGAGGACCACAGCTGGATTCAGCAGCTACTACAGGAATGAACTGCCACTACAAGTGAACAGGACACACACAAGAAGGAGCGTGTCCTTTCTTCCTCCACCCCCTTCCCAGTCTCTCAGTGGCAACTCCTGTTATCCAAGCCTAATGTGAAGCCAGGTGGTGCAGCAGACGTGTGGCTTGAACAGCCCAGCCCCAGCCCCAGCCCCAGCCTTTGAAACACTGTAAAAAGGTGCGTTTGAGGCTGAGTGAGAGTAGCTGCAAAATGGCACAACATGTCTGTCCACTATGAAAGCACGCAAGGTCTCAGGACCTTCCTGAGCATCAGAGAAGTTGTCAATAAATGTGCCACTGCTGTTTGCAAAAACTAGACAGGTTACCATAAAGAAGAGATGACCAATAAAGAAAACCATTGTGCGTTACCAATGCATTGTTCCACTTCAGTGTTAGGAGAAATGAAGGGGGGGAGAGGAGTGTTGTGTGCTCTCTGTAAGGTCAAGGACCCTTGCTTATAATACTTTGCCTTCTTCATGTCCCAAATGCCTGGCAAATAATAGGCACTGAGATGCTTCCAGAAAGAATAAACATAAACACAGCCACGGAGGTATCTGCAGAATCAGTGTCTGTCTAAAACCCACAAATAAGTTTTCTGGGGTGGGAGTGGGGGACGGATCTTGTTTTGCTCTTTCACGTTCACTGTAATTTTTTTTTTTTTTTTTTTTTTTTTTAAATTTGACCATGTGTCAGCCGAACCTGAATTCAGCTAAGGTTAAAAGGAAAACAGCCCACAGGAGACTAAAACAATAGCAGATGTCTGCCAGACCCCACGACAGTGACCAAGGGATCCTGGGGGTGTTCAGTGTTTATGTCACTGCCCCCATCAGTTCAGCCAGGGATGGAGGGAGGGCCAGAGACTCACCCACTAAAGACCAATTTCCGACTCTGCTTTGTGTGACAGGTTTTCTGTGTGAGTCTAAGCGACTTCTCCTTAAGCGAAAATATTTGTCTTTCAGGGATTTTTTTTCCACCACCGAGTGGCAAAGGCCATGTTTGTTTGTCTTAACTCGGAAACTGTTATTGACATAGATGAAGTGTTACTTTTATTAGCTGATCATTACACAGCTTGTATTTGCTGGGTTCCTTTGCATATAATTATGATGTGAAATCTCCTTGTAAGAGTATCTGTCAATAGTGTAATTGACTTTACAGTGTTGACTTTTTACTCAATAACCTCAGAGATTGGCCCATCCTTAGTTGTTGGAAACCTGCTTATTTTTAAATTTGCCTGGGCGTAGAGTCCTCAAGACACATTATCCTCAAAATAACTGCTCACACATCTTAGTTTTATGGCTGTGTCTTCTGTGTTCCCAGTGAAATTCCTTGCAGCGAATACATTGAATGGAACAAACGATTATAGCCCTAGAAGAACTGTTTCTGGCCCTCTTGGGAAACAGGGGCCTCAAGTTTCCTACATTTATAGCACTCTGGGCTGCCTCCCAGGTAGGGCCCATAGCAACTCTCTGGGATCTGGGCCACCTTGCCTTCAACCCTTACAGCTCTTTTTTGACCCATTAAATGTCCAAGGCTTACCAAAGAGGACTGGGAAAAAAACGGATGGGCGGGGGGGGGGGGGGGGGGGGGGGGGGGGGGTAGGAGTCCTTCAGAAGGCAACAGAGCCCAGAAATCACATATGAGAACTCAGGAGCCAAGTTTCTTGGGTCCTTATCCTGTGGTTGTGTGATGTTGGACAGGTGCGCCTGGGCTTCTCATGAGAAAACCAGTCTTATGGGTTATTAGGGTAACACAGTTATGTTACTGACACAGGGTGTGCGTTACGTAGGTGTTTGATAAATAACATGGAGAAACAAGCAAACCAATTCAGAAATGGGCAAAGGACTTAAATAGTCATCTCTCCCAAGAAGATATACAAATGGCCAAAACACATGAAAAGCTGCTTAGCATCACTAGTCATTAGGGAAACGCAAATCAAAACTGTGAGATGCCACTTCACGCCCATTAGGATGACTCCTAGAAAAACCAGAAAACAATGAGTGTTGATGAGAATATGGAAAACTTGGAATCCCTGTACACTATTGGTAGGGATGTAAAATGGTGGAGCTGTTATAGAAAACACTATGGCAGTTCCTCAAAAAATTAAAAAGAGTTACCATATGACCCAGCAATCCTTCTGAGCATGTACCAAAAAGAACCAAAAGCAAGGTCTCGAAGGGATATTTGTTCATCCACATTCATAGCA